GTATACCAAAACAAATAGATGTCATTCTGAAATGTTCACTTACATCATGAAAGAAATACTCAGCCCCATTCATGCCCTCGATTACGCTTTCAGCTGCAAATAAATTACAATTACAATTAGTACTATGAATCGGTATTAGGGAGTACTCCGAGCAGGCTCTTACCCTTTATCAACTGCTCCAGTTTCTGTCGATCAACCTTGAAACGTTCGGTGTGAAGATCGTCTGGATTTTGCACGCCCAGCTTCAGTGCAATGGCACGTATGTCACTCCAATCGCTGTCCACCGACGAGATCTCGCTCTGAGTCTCGCTGGGTGCCCCGCTACCAGCAGAGTTAACCGATGGCAGGGCCTGCAGACTGGCCAGAGACCCAATGCCGATGGCACCACTGCCATCCACGGCCACGGCGGACGACTTGCCACTGGCCACGGCGGACACCTCCGCGGCCGTTGGGTACATCAGTTTGTTGAATGAAGCACAAGAGAGCATCGTGCTTGTCGGCGTTTACTTGTCGGTGGTCGAGAGCTGGTCTACCAGAGGTTCGAGAGTCAGAGGTCAATAGTCGTGGGTGTGCGTGAGCGTGTGTTTGTGGGTCTTCCAAAAAGTCGTTTAGTTTTTAAAACCAATCAAAATGTCCGTCTCAGAGGGTGTTTCTAATGGGCTTTCTCCAGTTGGTCGTTGCGTTCCTGGTCAGCGATAAGCGATGCGTGCGTGGGGGTGCGTATTGAAAGGGAATTTTTGTGTTAATTTGGTGTACAGATGTACTGATGAGGAGAGCTGTGAATAAAAAGAGAAGTAAAATGAAGAATATAAGCGTATATGAACCAATAAGCTTGCTTTAGCAAAATGTTAAATAAATGAGAGGTTTATTCAAATATTTATTAAATAAATGTGAAGATGTAAGAAAATGTTGGAGGAATAACTTGGCTAAAGTTACCGTTTCCCCTTTTCATGTATTAAGTCTTAAATTTTTGAGAGATAATCAGTTTTATTTTGTGTGTTTTGTTGAGTCATTTTTGTAAAGAAAGACAAACAAAAACTTCCTAAAACGGAGCCTGTAAATGGTATTTAAAATACAATTTATTTATTTCGATGGCTGACTGTATAGACAACTAACCTTCTCTTATTTTATCTTCTCCCTCCTCATTTACCACTTCTACTTATCATAAATATTTGCTGACCTTTAAGCAAACTTTGTTTTCAGATTCTAGGCCTTCAATTGTTTGAATTACTTAGTATATAATTAGAAAAAAAACATATTAATTAATCTATATTCAGTTCACTGTTTCAGATTCGCTTGTTTCTGCTGTTCCCTAATTGTGAAGAACCTAACCTCTCAAGGGCGACTGTGGCAGGCTACGATCAGCCATGAGGTTTGCCTCGTCCGTCGTACCACCATTCCCTTCAGCGAGTTCACATAAAACGGAAATGATGTGAAAGCAGCAGGCAGACAGACAGAGGCGGAGAAGAGGCAAAGAACGAACAGAAACAGTAATTTCTGTCTTTTAATATTTTCTATTTCTGTCATCACTTTTTTGGCAAGACTTACCGTTGAGGGATCGCTCGGGGGATCTCTACTTGAGGTTGAACAATCCCTGAAAGTCCAAGCAAATGGCATGCGTTAAGTCCTGGACAAATTGGATGGCCTCCACGAGACAGACGTTCATAACAAAATTACGTATTTGTTGAAATCTCTCGACGAAAGGCATTTAAATTGTGATCTACACAGTGGATCGAAGGTGTATATATCAGTTTATATATCAGTATATAATTAGTTCGTGTGTGTGTGTGTGTGTGGGTAGGGGACGGGGATGCGTCAGAATAGATCGTGCGAAACTTAAGCTTTCCTCGGGGCGGCTACCACTTTTAAGTATGACTTCTCGAAGGCAACTGAACGCGGCTCTCGAGCGGGCAAGTTGACCTGGTCCCCCATTAGGGATGTTGATACATCGATATCCCTGGAATAACCACTGGAATTCCTAACTGTAGTCCCGATGAATGCGAGCTGGAGAAAATCTCCACAGCGAGCGAGCGGTGTTGTTGCTGGGTCAATGAACCGAGAGGAGAGCACCAAAAACAAAACAAAACCCACAAGATCATAAGAGAGGGAGAGAGCGTGAGAGCCAACATATCGTATTTTTGGTTGAATTGTTGCCAGCATAGAATATGTAAACATCTGTTATTTGCGAATGTAACTTCTCTTCTCTTCCTTTGCTCTAGGCGCACGCACGTCTGTTAACAGATAGAGCAGTGTACATATGTAAGCATCTACTCACTACTCAACAGTTGTAGTTTAACAGGAGCTGCTAGCTCCTTTAACAGTCAGCCCAAAATGTTGCCCAACATTTTCATTCATTTTGGCGCCAAAAGAAGGAATGGGAGGGAATGAAATTAAGAGATTGCTTCCCGCCAAAAACACACGACTTACCGCAAATTGAATTTGGATCGAAGCACAAAAACATAAATAGCTCAATCAATTAACTTAAACACAATCAACTATAAAATCAGATGGACGAATAACACGCTCGTTTCACGTTAAAAAAATATGCATAGTTTTGTTAATTAATTTTAAGCGCAATTAATATTCTGTCAATTGGTCAAATTAGAGTTCGTAATGGGATTTGGTTGGCAGTCGAAGTACTTTTTTTTCAATGTAACCAAAAAAAAAGTCACTGCCGAAGTAATGTGTGTATGTGTGTGGGGAGGAACAGAAACACGTGTGCAGAAAACACAAAAGAAAAGGGGTATGGAAATTGAATGAAAAGCGAAAATGAATTGTTGTCCAAGTTAAGGTGATGGTGGTCGGTCCGAAAGTCAAGTCAGGGAGTTGTACAACGCGCTCTTGTTATTGGTTTTATTATTATATTCCATCGATTTTCAACTATTATTATTTAAGCAATGCGACAGAGTCTCGTAGTAGGTGCGGGGCGTGCTGTTGTCGTCATTAAAGCGCGTTGACTGAAGCTCAGCCTTGGCCCACGTCCCAACTGACCTTCACATGAAAGCTCCCCTGCGCGCAGCAGAAGAGAGAACGGTCGGCCGGCTGAAGTGGCTCTCGATCCATCAGCATTGTGTGCATCAGAAAAAACAGCACATAACAAGAGCAGAACGGATAATACAACGGCTCTGGCGAAAGCTTTTGCTTTCGTGCGATCATGTATGTATGTACATATGTACAAAACTGCAATGCAGACTTCGTGACTATGTGTGAATGTATGTACGTACATATGCATGTTCAAGGTGCAGATATTGTTAGTTCGCATTCCCTTGCCCAGAAAGACTAGAATCGTATGAGCTGTTAAAAAATACGTATTTGCCCTTTAAATCTAGCCATACCACAAAGAGTTAGGCTCTGACAGCTAAAGCTTTCTATTCTTCGTTGTTATATTGTAGATAATAAATTAAATATTTCATAATATTCTGAAATATCAGAAGGCAGCAAATTAAATTGGCTTAACAACTTTTTCGTGTATTATTTAATATTGTTGTTCTACTAAATTTAAACACAAATTAGCAAAGCGATGTTGTACACTAGAAACTACATACATATATTTTTATTCGACAAACTAAGATATTTTAATATTATAAGGTGTTTAAAAAAGAAAAGTTTTAACTCAAAATTACTGGAATACACAAATAAATGTATTTCTGCTACATGGTACAGAGAGTCAGGTGCAACGGAGGCACATGTCGAGGAGGTGGACCTAGAGCTTTTGTGTGAAATCCTTTTTGGTCAGCGCTGGAAAGTTGCGATATGGACTTTGGCGCTTCAAAAAAAACTTTCAAAAGCTTGACAGCTATTCTTCATCGAACTTTGATACTTAATCATTTTAATTAAATTCGTACTAAAAGATCTAGATTTTTATGAATATCCTAAATTTGTATTCAATTTGGTGTCAGTATATAGAATTCTACATTATTTTAGCTTGAGACTAAAAAGAAAACTGTAAGAGAAAGCTTTCTCCAGCTGTACATGTTAATGTAGAGCTTTCCAGCTGGGAGTACTCCGCTTGCTCGCCTGATGGCGCTGCACTCTTTTTGAAAAACAGTGACAATATAAAGTAACCACACACCACGTTAATAAATATTTATTGTTGTTTATTAATATATATTTTCTGCCTGCTTATTGTTCAAACAAATGCCATACATACATACTATGTACTATTAATATATTCCATTCCGGCGTCAAATTACTTTTTACAATAATACTTTCTGAAATCATTACATCTCGTATGTGTCTGCTTTATTCTTTAGGGTATATTTTATTTCCTTGCTGCATTCTTGCATCACTGTTACTCGTTTGTTTACTTAGGGCTTTAGGTCGTCTCTAGACTTATGCTGGCTTTACACATGTTTGGTTATTGATTGGGATATGAATATTGAATATTCAATGCAAACGCATTTGCTTTACCATTTACTTACATTTGATTACTATTACAAATCTAGAACTAGTCTTCCGGGCTTATCAGATAACAACATTTATTTTTTTTTTGGCTGCATTTAATCTTCCTTTGTTAATTATTTGAAAAACATCAAAATGAATATTACATTTATTACAGCACAATACTCGTATTTCTATGTACACTAAATTCCTTTTATATTTTACAACTGGTATTTTACTGGTATGTCTCCTCTATTATGATTATGTCGCATTGCATAACCGAAACCATATGAGAACTTAGGTTAAAAATGAAATTTACCAACAATTTACTGAGCAGAGAATGTAAATTAGGGGAAGACAACTTTCACAACACGTTTTGGTTAGAGAAATCTGAGCGCATGCATTCCACATCAATATGTATTTTTTTTATTGTATTTTAACATTTACATACCCTATCCTGAAGTTTATTTCCTCTCCATACTCGTAGTTACTATATACAAATGTTGACCTAGGCTTAAATTATTATTATCTTACTATTTTTTATATGTTTATGTAAGTTAATTTATAGATGCTTTCCTAAGGGGTTTCCATTTAATTTACAACATTTTCGGTACGTTGTCGTTTACCATTTATATAAACATTGATTTATTTTCAAGGCAAAGGAACTATTTACCGCTGGATTTTTGTTGGCCAAAAATTTCAAATAATCTTCATATTTCATTGATTTTATATATTGCGAAATGATAAGATGAAACTCAATTTTATTTTAGTTTTCTTGTGTTCTATTTTTTGTGTTCTACAAATCAATTTGTTTTCATAATTAATTTCGCATTTTTTCCAAACCCGTAAAAAGTTCCTTTCTATACAGTGCTGCTATTATATCATAGGTATCATATTTAAGTTAACAATTTTAATGCCTGAAGTTTCTTAAACATCTATTTACATGAAGAATACAAAACAAATCAACTCATTTTAGTTGCCTTGCTTGCTGCTGGGAAAACGTTATTTTGTGAGCCTGTGTGACACCTACAATAGAAGGACCGTCTGAGCGCTAATTTAATTTCTTCTATGGAAAAGAGCTGTATCAGCAGTGATCCATAAACAATAAAATAATATAAAATCGATCAAATTGGATTTATAAAATGCAATTTAACAATACTTTGATCTCCTTCTCAGTACATTGCACTCCCACAAGGCGTTTCTTATTAATTAAGCCCTTCAACAACTGGATTTTTTAGTGTCACACAGGCTTCAACCGCATCGTCTAAGTGGCACTGCAATTCTGTTTTAAAAAGCCAAGAACGAGGCAGAGTCCAAAGGTCAGCTTGCTGTACAGCGCGTGGCTTTCGTTTTTGCTCTTCATCGCTTTGCTTTTCATCGTTTTACAGTCCAACGTCGCTAACTGGATCTAACATGAGTTAACATGTAGATGAATGTGCAAGTGAATAACAATAATGTCTATGGTCTAGGTTTGGTATGGGTTTCAGATCGTGTAAATCTAAATTGGTATTCCATAAGACGAAATAATGCGTTCTAAACATATGTATTAAGTTGACCAGTTCAAGTTAGCGAAGTTCGACTGTAGTGCTGTTGTTTTGTAATGCATAATGTTCGACTTGCAATCAACCCCTCAAACTCATAAAGAACGGTAAATGTAGTTGGTTCTTCTTCGATCTTCGTTTGCTGTTGTTTTGACGATTCTTGCTCTGCATCGCTCTCTCTCTCTCTCGCTCTGCTTGAAGCTTTTGAAGCTGTGCTGCAAGTTTTATTTGCTGATAAGAATGCAGTTAAATTCTGCTCAAGTTCGGCCACAGCCCATGCATCGAATCTCAAATTATCTTTCTCGAAAGCATTTTACGCAACATGTGAGGGTGTTTTAGCTGGCAGAAGCTCTCAAAGTGCACTAGCAATGACTGAATTACATTTCAGAACTAATTAAACACTAATTCATACGAGTATTTTTTTTCAAACTATTGGGATGTGCCATGGAATTTATATACTATATTAACGAGTATTTTACCGATTTTATCCTCTAGTTACATGTTTGCATATTTCATACACCTTGCCAGATTACAATAATACAAATAAGACTATATTTCCTGTTATTATTCAATGATTCCTTAAAGGTCTCCCCTTTCTGGCTATACTTAATTATTCTCGCTCCTTCTTCGTCCGCTCACCTTATGCATAACACTTATGAACTACAGCAGCGTCCCGGCCATCCAGCTGGCGATTTCAATTAATATTCATATATATTAATTATTTCCTCCAACTTTTCACTTTGCCGGACTGGAAAATGTTGGTAGGGCAGGGACTGGGAGACGGGGGGACTGGGGGAGAGAGGCTTCACTGCAGCAAAAGTGGGCAAACACCTTAAGCTACTTTTGGAAATGGATTTCATCATCAATTCGGCATCAGCACGAGAGCCAGTCGGAGTAACCCGGAACGGGCGTCCTCCACATCTTTCGTCGGCGAGTCATCAATAATCGTTGATCCAGCCAGGGCCCTGCCACGCCCACAAGTGTCGCTGACAGTCGCTTAACGGCAACTCCAGATGGCACTGTTGCAGCTCCCGTTCCCGTTACCCTTCCTTTTGCCATTCCCTTTGCAGCTGCAGTTAAATCATCGGCAACATTTGCCACACTTGCAACATTCGCGTCATCATCGTCTGACTCCGCAGTCACAGTCCTATCCCCACCATCGTTCATCTTCTCCTGGATTTTCATACGGGGATGGGGCTTGTGTGTTGCCATTGCCATTTGACAATTATAAAAGCATTTGACGCTCGCTCCAGCTTCGGATGCTGCCGCCTTTGACATTGTCACATCCTCCGTTTCGACTCCGGGCGACTGTTGCTGCCGTTGCCCCATCGCTGTTCCTGTCGCTGTTGCTGGTGCTGTCGATTTCTTTGTGTATTGACAGTTGATAATTTGATGGGCCAGCACTCCCAGCAGACACAAAAGAGCTGTTCCCGGTCTCGCTGCTTGCGTAATCCAGGCACCGAGTGCTTCCCATGGCCACGCCCCCACCAACTGCCTGTTGATGTGAAGTCTGATCCGAAGTGCTGCCCCGAGCTTCGATGGCCAGACGTGCCAAAAGATTTCATGTGCAGCTGTCGATGCGCCCGATGCACTATTATCCGCTGAAAAGAGACAGACAGACAGACAGCTATGAGAGAGATGGATAGACAGAGAGCGAGAGAGAGTCGGACAGAGCTGGCGATAGTTTAGAATGTTTCGATTCCTTTGTGAAAAGTTAAGTAACAAGAGGGATTCACAATTTTCCAGCCTTACGATTGCTCAATAGAGGTCCTAATGAAAGGAAGTTTATGGCATTGGATGTGAAGGTTTTCTAGCTGGGATTGGTCATTTTTTGTTGTTTGGCTTAACTAATTTTTCGGGCAAATTATTTTAGTTTTAGTTATTGCTAGTGAAAATTCTTAAGATTCCCCTAATCGGATTTAGCTTTGCCTGAAAACTCAATTGATTAGATTTTAAAATTGTTTTCATTGGTTTGCCATTCACTCCAGCCTTTCCCTCTGGCACCCGCAAATGCATGGGGTGGCAACTTAGCTGGACGATCTCCAAGTTGCTGGAGTGCCTGCATCTTGTCCTTGTGGGGCACACAACATAAATTATGTAAATAAAATTGTGCAGCATAAACATTTTGCGGGCTGCCACCGCACCGAAGGAAGCCACTGAGGCGGAGCAGGCTTATCGCATCAAATGGTGGGCAAATCAAATTGATATAAACTAAGTTTAGACATGAAAGATTGTCGCCGGATTGTGGCAGACTGTGCAGGACGGAAGCGATTATTGGGGCCCCGAGGCACAGCGTGGCGCGTGGAGTGTGCGCCAAAGGATTTTTCCGCTCTTCCTGTTTTTCCGCTATTTTCCTTTGCAGTTTCCCTTGGCTGGAAGAAGTGTTGCCACTTACTTGAGGCAACATTTACTTAACACCAAGCATCAACACCAAGAATAACATGCATGTGAACGCATTGAGCTGAAAATTGTATTTAAAATTGAGTTCGGTTTTGCGACTGATGGGAGCGCCATGGACTCGGGTGTTCATGCGAGTGTGCAAAATTCTTTTGGCTGCAGGGCTCGCAGAGTACTACAAAGCGGAACTGCAGCCGATGGAGTGGGTAGATTGGATGTTCCGATACCAGTTTGCACTCCGCTTCGAACTTTATGCAAATGCATTTTTGACACACACATCCTACATGAAACCACTTGAGCAGCCGTCTGGGTGAGTACTTAGAGCTGTCTTGCATGGAACTTTTGTGGTGGAACTGAATTTCCGATATAGATTCTCAATGTTTGCCATTGAAGTTGTCTGATATATGATCTGAAGCGGTGGGAAAGAAAGTATTCAGGCTCACAAGAATCTAGCTCAAAGCTTAAACAACATTTTCGTATTTTTACTCAGCCCAACCAAGCATTTTTCATAAGTTTTTTGATTGCTTACCCGAATAGTAGGTCAAATATGATTCATTGTGATCCTCGAAGCCCCTCTCGCCATTCGTATGCTCATCGAGGGGATAGTTGTTGATGTCGTAAGATCTGCCAGAGGCCATTATCCTGGGTCTGTCCTCCTCAATGACACTCTCCATTTCCTCCTTGAAGATGTCAAAGATATTGGCCGTGCACTTGAGCTAACAAACCAGAAAGGAAGAAACTTTATTAGAGTCTGAATAGAACCAATTTTGCGAGTGTGTCTTCGCTTGGGTCTTACGCTTACCCTCATCTGACCCTTGAGAAAATGCTGAGTGGTGACCATGAAATGTATGGCACTTGTAACCGATTCCAGTGTGGTATTCTCCTGCTTCTCAATCTGATACGTCTTGATGTGATGCGGTGGCACCTATGTGAAAGCACAAGGAGAAAGAATGTCAAGTGCGATTCAAACGTGCATCTGCTCCAATTTCCAACATAATCCATTTATAAATATCTATCAATGGGACAGCTGCAGCCGCTGCTCCCAATGAAGTGTGCCCCCTCAAAATGATGTATGAAAGGGATAACTATCCCAAAAGCCGACACTTCTCCTACCGCCCAAAAAAAGAAAGGGAACCGTGCCACAGCACAGGCAAATTTATAACTTATGAATGATGAATAGATTTACGCTTGAGTGATTAGCTAGAGCAGAGAGCCCAGAACTATGGGGTGAAGATGAAGATGGAAGGACGACGACGACGATGACGATGATGATGGTGTATCACCATGATAGGGAGGCGCCAAAGGACATGCCAGAAAGCTGGGCTGTAGACGAGGCCACTTTGTTTGCGGTGAGTTTAGTTTGAAGTGCCTCTGCAGATACCGTTGCCTGACCCAACCAGCCACCTAGCCATCTAGCCACCCAACCAGCCCACAACTGACAGCACACATGATGGTGGCTGGTGGCCCTGCTGGTGGTGGTGGAGGTGGTGCCGAGGGAACGGAACGGAGAGTGGTGCTCCTGTTGAAATGCGCTCGTTAGCTAAAAGATCAAGTGGCCGCACCCACCGCATGGTGTAGGCAACACTTAAGTGTTGTTTGTGTTAGTTTTCTCTCTGCATTTTTATCATACGCAAACACACACACACACACATACACAGCTTATATCTATATAAATATATATTTTTAGCTGCTTGCTTGTTTTCAAAATGATTAAATCTTAAATTGAAATTCCGACAATTTTGTTGTTTTGCGAGGTCTTCCTGGTATTGGGGTTCAATTTTCATGGCTGAGAAAGGGTGTACAAAGTTTTTTTAGATTCTTTGGTATTAATTTTAAACGAGAGAAAAATTTTAACATTGAAAAAGCTTATCAATAAATTTATTTTTTATGCACTCAATCGGTAAACAAAATCAACTTACAGCACCCAAAACTCTATCAACTTTTACCAAAACACACACACAGAAAGAGCAGCCACAAATATGAGTTATGAGCGGAGGCGGGGCTTTGACATTGACATCGCATTTACTATACTCCAGCCGCCAGCTAACCCCTTGCCGCCCCCTCTTTGCAAGGGCAACAATAACATTTCGTAATGCCCTAGGTGGAGGAACGTCACAGCTCTGGCCCATAAAAACGAAATGAAACGAAACGCAAAGGAAAAACTAGCTGACAACCTAAACGTTTCTTGAAAAACCAAACGCAAAATGCCGGGACATGTCAGCCTTCTCTGCACCACGCACCCCGAGAGCCACAGCCCACAGCCGCAGCCACTCCACGGACACTGCTACTCTCCCTCTCTCTCTCTCTCTCTCTCTCCGGACACCTGTGCGCAATCATGCGAGGCGGCCTGACGGCAGCTGGGCGAGGACTGGCGGGAGGCAGTGTGACCTCCTGTTGGAGTCGACGGCTGTGGTTGCGGCCATAAAACATCCAACGCAGCAAAGGCGAAAGGCATAAAAACTGACGGCCTATCAAAAAATATATATATCTGACTGGAGAGAGAGAGAGAGAGACAGCCGAAGGGACGGCAGACCGAAGGGGCATGAATCTAGGCAAATAAAAACGTTGCAGAAGATGAGTAGGAACAAACACACACTCGCACAGGTGCCAAAAAGTGTGTAAAAAAAGAGAAATGCATGGCAAAAACAATGCTCCACTTTCCTATAGGTATGTATATTTCTAAGTGCAAAATAGTGGGAAAAAAGAATACGAATGGAAAAGCTTTTTTAATATTTTAAATTATAATTCAGTTGTAAACTTTTATCACATTAATCCACTACAAATATTTCAGTTTATATTCGTTGTTTCGTTTCCTTCCAGCTATCTCTCATTCTGTTAATCAGTCCTTCATCTATGCCAGTTGTATTTAACGAGTTTTACCCAACCCAAGGCCCCACTCAAACGAAAGTACCAGCAATTAGTCCCCCGCTTTGGCCAATGACTAATTGAAAAACTGCCTGCCATCAATTGAAACCGATCAAACCCGTTGCAGCCGCTCACTTTCCTTTGCGCTTCTAATTGAAGGGAATGGGCGAAGTAGGCGTGTCCAGCAGCGGATAGCAGTGGTAAACGAAACCAAAACTTACCACAATACCATTAATAGTCCATGTCAAATTAGCAGCCGGTTTCGAGTATTTAATTGAGCAATTGCCATCGACCAAATCGCCAATGCGATAGCGCGCCTGTATCCCGGTGACCACGGTGTGCTCTTCCGGCAGCTCTGCAAAGAGTGGATGGAGATGCAGAGAGAGGAGTGAGACAAGGAACGGAAATGTAAAATTTGCTTTTGGCGCCAAAAAAAAACAGGAGAGAACCAGAGCCAGAGTCAGAGCCAGAGGCAGAGCCAGTGGCAGGCTGCAACACGTTTGTTCTAATTAATTTGCTTGCCACCGCCGCAATTTCTGGTGCCCTTCTCTGTCCCTTTCCGGCTCCTTGTGCACTTTTTAACCCTATACATATTTTGATTGCATATCCCTTTATGGGTGTATGCGGGCTTTTCTGTTTTACTTACCAACCACCTCCATTTCGCCGGACACCATGGCGGTCTGGAATGTGGGCGCCTCCACAGATATTTCGCATGTAAATTTGCCCGAAATATTCAACGGCACCGACTGCAGTACGACATGACTTTGATTCGAGAGGTTGCGCTGCATGGGGAGAGAGGAGCAAAAGAAGCGTCAAAGAAAGTGGTGGAGGTACGTGAAAGGAAATGAAGAACCTAATAAAAATTAGTTGGGCAAAAATTGGCTGGACGCGGTGCATAGAAATTGAATATAACCCACCTGCAAGGGCACAAGTGAAAAGGAACGAAATGAAAAAAGAATTTCGTCTTGGTTATGAATGGCAAAGTGAGCAGCGTGATAAAAAGGTGAGTCGGTGAGTGAAAAGTGACTGCAAATTGAGGGTATAAAGGTGAAGAGTTGAATTCAAGGCTGAAGGGGTCATCTGCCTTTGATGAAGATTTGCTTTGACTCGAAAGGGATTTGACTCGTGGTGTTTGACTCATAAGTGTATTTCGAATGCTTTGGAAATTGTATCCCAAAACATTTATTAATTGATGGAATATTCGCAGAATTGTTTTAAGTATTCCCAGACCACTTTTATATTCATTTTGAACCACAATTTGCGTATTATTTGCTTACACATTTATTTGGCATATTTCGTACATGGAATTTAATCTTTGTGGGAAAAAATGATGAAACCTCACGCGGCAATTCACTTAATAAAAATCAAATTTAATAAATTGCATTTAACATGGGGTTTAATGTGGATGTGGGTGGAGCGGGATCATTTCGCTGAAGTTCGTTCGGCTGTTTAACCCAATTTGCTGGCGTCGAACCCTAATTGGCTTTCTCTCATTATAGGGTATAACAGAGGATAACCAGAAAATTCTTCACCATACAAAATGAAGCTTATCTGCCTGTGATGAATATCATGCAATGCAATTTTTAGAGGCTCCAATTTAAATCTTCTCCTAAAATCAGCAAATTAATCTTCGAGGGTATTTTGCAGTTGCATCTTTTAGCCCCTCACTGATTGGCCATTTTTGTCGCTGGTCCTTTATGCAATCTGTATATATTGTTTTTTAATGAGCCGCAAGTCAATCGCAAGCGCGACTAATTGGCCACGCCCAACAACTTTTAACGGATTCGTCTACGGATGGACTGGCATAATTACAGCGCTCAGTTGGAGCCAAAATGTAAGGGAAACCGCTGCTGTGGCAGTGGGTGGAGAGTGGGTGACTGGCAATCAGCCATTATGGATATAATTTACACGCATCTGCAGTAACATGTGCCCTTTATGGCAATCGAGAGGGGGATTGAGGATGGTATGGCAGGACATTCCATGTGTGATACTCACCTCAACATTGAGACCACTTGTCATGGCGAAGACCTTCATGGCAGGATTCTCCTTGGGTGTGTAGCGATAAAACTCACGCTTGCCCTTATACCATTTCACCGAATATAGAGTATCATTTTCCATATCGTAATTACACGTGAACAAGGCATTACTGCCACGTTTCACCGCCTGTGGTATCATTACCGAGACATCCTTGAGTGCCGCAATAAAATCTGCAAATAAAATGAGTTGCACTTTAAGTTAAGGCTACTGAAAGTCTGTTGTCTTTAATTGGTAAAAATATGCAGTTTAATGTATCGTTTGTAACACATAATTAAGATTAAATATAACCAGCATGAGATTTAAATGCCAAGCTGAATTTTCCACTGGTTCCCCCGTAATCGGCATACAAAATTCGAAAATGTTTGCCACCATATTGGGTTGGATTTTCCGGCAGTAATGCCGCTCAAGTAGGTTGCTCGCATAAGTATCTCAAAATATTTAAGCAAAAAGGAAAAGTTTTGCAGTCGCTGCCAGCCTCCTCCTCCTAGGCCTACCCGGCCATGAAGCCGCCTGCAGCAAGCCAAGCAATGCCATTGCCAGAGTAAGTGTGCAGCCAAGTCGCTCTGTCAGCCTTTATTTGTTTCCCATCTGTGCAGACGAATATGACCGGGCACTTGGTGACGTTTGCTGTCTGGTATCCTGTGCCCATCCACATGGGAGCATGTCAATGGTCGAAATATCCCGACACGTTCAAGCGAAGGTCGAACAAGCACAGGTTTAGGGTAATTATTGGCACTGACGACCGGAACTTTGTGGTGGAATATATATGCCTCGATATCGGAAAGCAGCCTAAAAGTAAGAGAGAGATGTCCCCAGTGCAACAAACAATAATCGAAGAAATTCTTTTGCAGTTGAGACTGTGATCTACACCAAAAGCGAACGGCCCAGGGCCCTCGTCATCAAGCAAATTGTTTCCGTTCACACGAAAGTCGGCTTGGATGAGTCCAAAATCTGGTATTGCAAACCCCAAAGAAAAAAATAAAATCACCTTCGCAGAGAACTTTACACAAATTTCAATTAGTGGCGCATTTTTATTATTTTCTGCCGAACCAATTTCGTGAGGCCACAATAACAACATTGACCTTAACTAAAGGGGTAGAGCGAGTGCCCAGCCACTGTGCTGAGTAGAAAATTGACCTCCATTCTCCCACCCTCTGTGTCCATCTCCACAAGAATCCAATGGGATGCTAACTACTATTCCAGCCATCCCTTTGAAAAGCGAACGAGCATCTGACCTGACCGCCAGCTTCCGTTGTTGTGTCTCCCCCCCATCCGCTGGCCATTGCTTCATATGACAACACAAAATGTTGCAACAAAGTTAAAGCCGAACTGGTCATCTAGTTCCCCACTCATTTTCCGTTTTTCTTTCCTTTTGTTTTTCTCTGGGCCAGGCGATTGGAGTTGAGGCATGATGAAGCAAATGTCTCTGACTAGAAACACTTTAATTTGCTTGCGATGATCTTTCGGAATAAGAAGAATAAGGGTAAGAATAATTAAGAAAAACTTCCCCACCATTGGTATTTAAATAATTGTTTAAAGTAATTCGATCCGAGAGAATGTAACATATGTAAATTCAGATGCAAAAGTAATATTTATTCCCTGAGTTGCTTCGCATTCCATTTACAGGTAATTCCTCCATCGAACCCCCACGATTCTTCGTAACTATTTTTTGTTCAAACTTTCTTCAATGCCAATCCTTTTTTTTTTAGATTTTGTTGCATTTTGTTTTTCTGATTGTACCTTTTGCACAATGCTTTTGTTTCCCATATTGACCCATATAACGAGCGAGCATTTTGTTGCACCTTTTTCTGCCCCACTCGATGTGGCTGCATTTATCGCAACGTTGGTGGTCAAGGAACCTGTGCGGGAGTCCTTCAGCTGCACATTGTTGTTTAGCAGTGACCTCCCAAAACCAAAGCCCTACACCCATGCACTCCATTCCATTACAGCAAACAACCACAACAACAACAACAGTCTATGACATTTTATTTTGTTATAAAAAAGTTTTACAATCTACGTTTGTTAAGTATTTTAACGGTTTTCTCTACGTAGATGTATGTGTGTGTCCCCTCTGCCAGTGTAATGTAAACCAATGAAAATAGCAGGGGCCACTCTTTGTATCATTCACCTGCCCGCAGAGTGGGTTGCTTCCCTGTCTCCTTTCGGTGTTTATCTGTCAGTTTATGTTTACAAATGTCCACTTTTAATGGTACACCATTTAGCTGGAGGGACGCCTAACCCGAGCAGAGCTGCAATAAACTGACACAGAGGGTCACCACAGAGTCAGGTCTTATCGCACTCGTACCCCCTTGCAGTTAAGTTACAATGCCTTCAGCCTTTAGCCACGTTCACAACAGGACTTGGATTTAAAGTCGAAGTCTTTGTTCGAGTCGCTGTTAAAGTATTTTTTTGGCGCTGTCTCCCCACATGCTTGAAAATGTAATTTTCTGATTTACTGGCATTACTTTGTTGATTCGATTTCGTTTTCGGCGCGGCCACTGACCTCCCAACAGAGTACATGTTTGCAATAAAACTTCACAGACAAAATGCATTTAATTTGGGCGCATTAAGTTATATTAAAAGCTGATCCAAAGTTAAGCAGCCAAACAAAGTGCCAGGCCAGACATCGCAAACAAACAATCAGGGAGGACTGAAGCTGCACTTGGGTTGGGGATGGGTGTCAAAAGAAGGTCTCCACTAAGTTGGCTCGTAAGTGGTACATTTCCACGCTTAAGCCAGGCCCCCCCAAAAAATGTACATAAATATATGTATGTGCTGAGGGCAGACCCAAAGCAGACTCCAGACCAAGACGCGACCACAGAACTCGACCAGAAAAAGGGAGGCCGAACTGGAGAAGCGGCAACCCACTGATGACGATGATGGCGACGACGGGAGTTGTAGCTGACATGGCTGTCAGCATGTAGCCAGACCTCGACCAACGCCATCAACACCTCTCTCGTCCTTCTCCTTACTCGTTTTGCAGTCATTTCAACTTTGGAATTTCAATAAGAGCCTCTGTCTCGGCGAAAGCGAAATGCCGCAGGTGGCATTGGTAGGCATACGAGTACACAGTCCACAGTCCACAGTCCACAGGGCGGAGAATGGCAGCAAAAGCAAACAATCCAAAAAGTAAATACATAAATTAAAAGTGTAAAGGCGAAAAATGTTTAATGCGTGAGTGGATGTGTCGAGATGGACTCAAATGGAATGGTTCGCCTGCAGGGGCTGCAAAGAGGAGGTGCGCAACTTGTAATGAACCAATTGGGAATAAATTCAATAAATAGAAATTAATTAGTTTCGATTGGTAAACAAGGAAACGAGCTTCATAAAATCTTCGTAAATTTATTAGCCATCAATCGAAGTCTATATTTTTTTTTCGAAACCCACGTAACTAAACATTTTTCTATCCTTGCTCTGGCGGGGGCGCCCGTTTTTCCACCATTTGATGTTGTTTTGGTTTATTTTTAAACAATTTTTTATCATCAGCTGTCAATAGTTCAGGCGGCAGACCCGCCAAAAAGGGAACAGCCAGAAAGCACAGATGCAGCGAGGAAAGTCATTACATAAAAATGTTTTATGTTTCTCCATTGGAACTTTGACCAGGCAGCAGCAGCCAGACAGAGAGGAGTTGTTGTTGCTGTTGTGTAACACGCTCCCTGGGCTTGGAAGTAGTCCAAAACTTTCACGTATAAACACATTTTTGCTGCTCTTTGTTTGTTTCTCTTTTTTTTTTTTATTTGCTAGCCATAAAAACTAAAAAATCGCCAAATAGAAATAAACGCATTTTTATATGTATCTGTATTTATGAACCTCATAAATATGTCAAATAAATAACGAAACAGTCAAAATATTGTGCCCAGCTCGTCTATGACTGTGGGCCAATATTTGCCATCATTTTTGGGAATACTTCGCCATGCTGGTTGTTTCGATTTGTTGAACTCTATTTATTTACAATGAGAAATACGTTTATGAGATGGTTATAAGTTCTGTTTTTAATTCAAAATAATTGCATTTTCTAACTTCTAAATTATGAATAGAAATTGTGTCATAAACTATCTCAGAAAAATTATGTTCATGCACAAACCATAATTCTCTATTCAAATAAAAGCAAATTAAACCAAATTGTGTCTGCTCTTCCCACAACCATTTGATAATATATTATTCAAAATCAAATACCCCCAAAAGCGCAGAAGCCGCCGCCTTCAAAATTGTCCGCTAATTTGGGTATTTCTTTTATGTTTAGGTTTATCTTTTGTTTTAATGTTTTTGGTTGCATTTTGTTTGTTGGAGTGTCATAAAAGTGTGCCGCAAACTTGTTCGCTCTTCGCGCCGCGCCGCGCCGCAATGCAAAAACAAATACAAATGCAAAAGCTCAGCCCGCAGACGATTTCATTATAGAATAAACTTGGAAAAAAAACAACACTCACATAATGAGTATCCAGAGAGGGCGAAGCTTAGAGATGAGGGCAACCTAACCCAAAATGGGCTACACACCCACACACTGCCGTGCAGGGAAAACCAAAAACAGAGTTTCGCAGTTTGCTGCATACCCAAAAATGTTTGTCACTGCAGTGCACTCACACAGATACGCACACACACACACTCACCCACACTATGCACTCACACACACAAAGGAAAATGGCACTTTGTGGTGTTTTCCAAAATGGGGGAGTGCCAGTGTGTTTTTTTCGGGGGAGGCGAAGGCGAACCGTTCGGCGCTGGGGCTATTAAATAAACATGCAAATTATTGCGCAATTTTTGATTACGATTTTTCAACAAGGGGAGGAACCATCACCCCCAACAGCAGCATCGCAGCTCTGTCTCTCTCTCTCTCTCTCCTGCATATTTGTATATGTAAATCGGCATCAGTCGCAGCCACCAACCAGACCAGACCAGACCAGACGAGACCAGCCCAGCCCAGAACCATTGTATCTGGATCGCTCTCGTCCTGCCCTGCAATCTTTGCATGCATTCAACGCCTATTTTGCATACAAATTTTATTATTATTGTATTGAATTCGAGCCCTGACAATACCCGCTCTTTTCCAGCCCTCGAAAATGCGTTTTTTGTGCTTGGTATTTGGTTTGGTTTTTTGTTGTACTTTGTTTGGTTTTGGCTATTCAGGTTTGCCTATATTTTTTTTTGTCGGAATTATGTTAAATGAAAATCTGTGCAATTTTCGCATGACACTTGTTCGTTGTCATGTTTTTCCTCTATGCATTGTGGGCAATCACAGGGGGAACCGAGAGGATATGTTGGGAGACATTGGATCAGCTATGTCAAAGATATTTCCTGCAATTGTAAATGTTTGAACGAAACAACTTGGTTACTCGAAATGAGGATATAATCAATCGCAGATAAATGCTTTATACTCTTCAAATCCTACTTTAACTGTTTCCACTTTATCTGGGGGACTCTTTTACTTAGTTGTAGTAATTTATTTAGGATTATTTCCGTCGTGGCTCTCCCTATGATATGTTCCGCATGTAGATATCTCATTATTTTTCCATTTATCAAACCACAAAGAGCGAAAACCAGGCCACCAACCTATCATAATGCGAATATAAAGAGAGAAAACTGAAAGAGAAACAGCAAAATACAAAAAAAAAAAACTTTAATGACAAATCAAAAAGAAATCTATATCTACGATATGATGTGTTGAAAATATGATAAAAGGAAATTCAGAGAAAAATCCGTCAAACAAAGGAGGAGGAGGAGGAGAAAAAGAAAAATTCAAAGACTATTTGGTCATGCATTTGACATGTCATCTCCAGGACCAGGACCAGAACCAGGACCAGGGCAAGAGGGCGGATGGCTGGCTGGGTTGTTGGGTTGTTGGAGCGACTACAAAAGCAGGACTCTGTGCATGGCATTCATTTGGGTTTTGCATGAGTGTCTGTGTGCCTGTCGCCCTGCGAGTCTGTTCGTATTGGTAGGCGACCGCCAAAGCGTCGCCAGAAGCACCATCGCACATGGCAACAACAAGACCCAAAGTTCGACTGCTCTCCAGT